AACTATCGGCAAGAATAAGAGGTTTCTCATTGGAGGTAGAAAATAAATTATATTCGGTAGAAGAATTGAAGGAGCTGGAAGAAAACGCGGAAAGTTCTAGTGAAAGTGAGGAAGTAGACTGTGGGACTAGTAAGGTACAGTCGACGTCGTATACAGCGTATTTATTATCCAATCCAACCGAAAAGAACGTATCCACAGAAACCAGTCAGAAGAGAAGAAGATCAAAAATACATTATAGTCCAAAAACGAGAAGTCAAAACAAGTTTTTAAATAAAAATAAATAGAATAAAAAAGAAGAAAAGAAAATAAAAAAATAATTAAATTTAAAACAAGCAGATTCTTTTGTAAATTTACATTATTATATTTTGCTTACTTTATTTATAACCTTGGTGGAATTATTTATTGGTTTGTTTGGTATTTTTCTGTTTAGATTTGATAAACATGGAATTTAAGAATTTGTGCATTGGTCATTGGAATTCTCGTTCATTATTGTCAAAAATAAATTTTATTAGAGACGAACTTGGAAATAAAAAATACGACTTATTTGCCATATCAGAATCCTGGTTGAAAAAGAACATATCTGAAGATTCGATTAAAATTGCTGGGTATAAATGTTATAGGAATGATCGAAATGATAAAATTGTAGGAGGTGTTTGTATTTATGCTAAGGAATTTTTAAAAATTAAAATAATAGACGATTTCAGCAGTAATGAATTTTACGAACAGCTATGGGTAAGTCTAAGGGTTAATAATAAAACCGTTTGTATTGGAGTCATTTACCGTCCCCCCGAGACCAACATTAATAAATTTTTAGATACATTTGAAAATGATATATCTCTACTGTCTGTTGAATTTAATAACTTAATATGCGTTGGTGATTTTAACATTGACATGTTAACCGAAAGTAACTCAACGAGTACTCTCAACTCACTATTCGAGGGTACTGGTCTGATACAAATAGTAAATGAGCCAACACGTAAAGATAGTCTATTAGATTATATAATTATTAATGATCATTTAGATTTTTCTAAACTAAATGTCATAGATGTAAATTTATCTGATCACTTTCTCACAGAATGTATATTAAATATTAAAATTACAAAAAACAATCATCAAACAAAAACGTACAGATACTTTTCTAAAATAAATTTAGAAAATTTTAATGTTGATCTTAAATCAAAGCCTTGGCACTTAGTTTATGAAAGTGCCACTATTAATGATAAAATCAAAATATTCAATAAACTTATTACCCAATTATTCGATGTACATGCTCCACTTAAGACCATGACCTTTAAAAATAGTCCTAAACCATGGATCACTGACAATATAAAATTTATGATTAATTTACGAAATAAGGCGTTTACTAAATACAAACAAACAAAACAAAAATCTCATTGGGATTATTATAAGAATTGAAGAAATTATATTACACAAGCCATACGTGCAGGAGAAAAAATCTATTTCAATCAAAAATTTTCTAATGCCAACAATAAACAAAAATGGAAAATAATAAATAAGTTTACCGGATATAAGAATAGTAATAAGTTTCAACTTTCCTCGAATTTCGATGCGAATGACATCAATAAAAACTTTTTGAAAATTAATGGTTCTGTAATTAACCCTCACCCGGAAACTCAAAATTTTTACCAAAACAACTTTAAAGGAAATTTTGAAAATCTGCTTGAATTTAAAGAAATAGATGAATATAATATAATTGAAATTATTCTTAAAATTAAAACCGAAGCTTGTGGAACCGATGGAATTAATGTTACATTAATAAGATTTCTTTGTCCCTACCTAATTCCCCATATAACTTACATTATAAATTTTTGTCTAAAAAAATCTGTTTTCCCAAATATATGGAAAGAGGGACTAGTTCTTCCTTTTCCAAAAGTCACTTCCCCTGAAAACTTAAATGATCTTCGTCCCATAACTATTCTGCCTACACTTTCAAAGGTTTTGGAGAGAGTTGTAGAGGAACAACTTCGAGAACACATTGATAAATATAAAATTCTACCACTCACACAATCGGGATTTAGATCGGGATATAGCTGTGGTACGGCCCTATTAAATATTACGGATGACTTTCTGAAGGAGTCCGACGCCAAAAATGTTGGATTATTAATTCTGCTTGATTATAGTAAAGCATTCGACATGATTAATCACGAATTGTTTTTATCCATTTTGCATTTTATTGGCCTAGGACCAACCGCAATAACATTTCTTAGAAACTATCTGTCGGGAAGAACACAGAAAGTATTATATAATGGTGTATCGTCTAGCGTAGAGAAAGTTGGGCGAGGAGTAGCCCAAGGTTCAATCCTAGGCCCTCTTTTTATACAATATATACGAACAATTTGTGTTCGGTTTTACAATATTGCAAAGCTCATATGTATGCTGACGATACGCAGTTATATATGTTTTTTAACAAAAACGATGAATCAGAGTTCAGAAAATAAATACCGATCTAAATGCCTTGGTGAAAGTATCTACCCAACATAATTTGGTGATTAATTCAGAAAAATCAGCTGTTATGTTTTTTGGAGCTGCTTCTTCTAACGTGTCTATAAAAATTAACGATGTGGCTCTACCAACTGTTAAAGCAAAAAATTTGGGGATAATGCTAGACAATCGACTAAAATTCACAGATCATGTTTCTTATGTTCTACAAAGATCATTTTTTAAACTAAAAACTTTATATCATAGCAGACATTTATTTGACAAAAAACTAAAGATACAACTCTGTGACTCTCTCGTTCTAAGTAATGCAAATTATTGTGATTTTGTATATGGACCTTGTCTTTCAGTAACAGATTCAAATAGGTTACAAAAACTACAAAATGCCTGCCTTCGACTTATATATGGAATTAAAAAATTTGATAGAATTTCCCATACACTAGCAAATGCCAGATGGTTAAATATGTTAAATAGGAGAAAACTTCATTCATTAACCCTGTTTCACAAAATTTTAATTAAAAAAAGTCCTCCATATCTTTGGAATAAAATTATTTATCGTTTAAAAACTCGTTTTCATACCAGATAGCAAAAGAGTATAATAATATTCCTGTTTCCCTAATTAATTTATCCATAGCATCATTTAAAACAAAAATGTTTAAAATATTATATGATGACCAATGCACAAATTTGTAAGTTTGTAATTTGATTTTGTTTGGTTTATATAAATTACTAGGATCCATCGGCATCGCTTGTCGTTATTACCTTTTCTTAGAAAATAAAAGTCTTTTGTTTCTTGATGACCAGCGATGCAAACGGCCCTTAGTACTTTTTTTGTTTGTTTTAGTTCTGTTTATTATATACATGTGTTACACCCTATTAGATTAGTTTAGATTACATTTGCAGGCCTTTGAGGAAGAACAGCTTGAGCTGATCTTAGGACCTTTTGACCATATTTATTTCTGGTACTTTAATTTTTTTTAAATTGTATTTTATTTTTTTTCAAATTTTGTATTTTAAATGGTCAATAAATATTATTATTATTATTATTATTATTAATGTGATTTATTTTGAACTTTAAAAATAAAGTTTCCTATTACCCAATAGAGGGTGCAAATATCTACTATTGTACTCGGCGCCATCTTTTGTCCACTATATTTGAGTCATAAAAAAATCTGCAGATTTATATTTGGTAAAATCATTGTATTTAGATAAGATAGTAAAACAACCTTATGGACCTTTCATTGGAGGCAATTCTGTTGCGACATCTATTAGAACTGTACAGAACTTCAACAAAATGGCTCGTGTGCTAGGCGCTGCCTCGATCATTGAGTATAGAATTCTATATACATAAAGTTTTCTTAATTTTTAAATTCATTTGGTTAGACTGCCAAATTTAAATTAATATTGTTTATATTCTCTAAAATGATGAAAATCGTAAATAAATGTTCGACAAGCATAATTAAACTCGTATCTCATTTTTAAAACAAATATTCTAAATCGATTATCGCTCCATCTATTAGTAAATAGAGAAATTACGTTCGTTATTCAGTTTCGACAACCTGGTAGAAGACAACAAAATTATCAAAGACATGACTTGGACACCACGGAGCTTGCTGCCATCTATTGATACTGTCCATTGTCCTCCAAGATAATTTGCATTGGTATTGTTCTACTAGTTGATCTATTAAATACTATGGTAAAATAAAGACTCCTTGAGAAATTTATAATTTTCATGATAAGAAAAATAACAATGAGGATTTATTTTTAATTTAATATAATACAATGTATTTTATGATTGTATCTAATTGTTTGGTTTTTTATTTGAAAATTGAAATTTAAATAAATTTGTTAATTTGATTTTTATATAAATGAATTTTATTAAAAGAATATACAGGGTCAACAACAATATTAATACAAATAAATAAACAGGTAAATTCAATTTAAAATAATATTTTTATAGTATGTGAACCGACTCCTGGGATGAGAGCATATCATGTGAAATATCTGATAATTTGATTAGGGTATTTAATAAAAAGCATAGCTGGAGTTGTATTGATTTTTATAAGAGGGTAATAAATAGAAAATTATTTAAATAGAAAAGAAAAATAAGGCGCTCAACAAAACAAGTAAGTTAAATATTGATTTAAAATAACAAAAAAAAAATTAAAAAAATAATAAATAAAAATATAAAAAATAATAAAAAAAAAAATTAATAAATAAAAATATAAAAAATCAATATAATATATTTCTAACACGTTAAATATTAAAATTATATGGTTGTCATTTCATATAATACTTATATTACTAAAATTGTTCAGTTAAATCCAAAAAAAGCAAAAGAACAAACAAGGGTTCCTATTGAAAGAATTGTAATTTTAAAAACAATGATCAAGTTAAAAACAAAAAAAAAATTATTCAAAGAACGAAACACTAGTATAACAAATATTTAACTACGTTTTAAACTACAAAGAAATTTTTGTTTTGAACTTCAAAAATCTAACATTTTATTTATAAAAAATTAAAATGTTACTCTTAGAAATAACTCAATAATTTGGCAGATTTGAGGAAGACAACATTTTCTTTAAATGAACCTCTTTAATTTTTAGATCTAATTCTAATGATTTTCTCCGAAGTTCAAATTCTACTTTTTGATTTTTCTTTTGCTCTAACTCGCAGGTTGCTATTTCTTTTTTTAAATCTGCCAATTTTGCATATTTTGCAGACAACTCTGAATATATGGGAGTAGTTATCAAAGGCCTATTCCGGGAAGTCCAAGGTGAACATGTTTTTGATTTTTCCTTGCTTATCAGGACTTTTTTCTTGAGTTTTGTTGTGGATTTGTCTGAGTCTGCAAGTATCCCCTGCACAGAATTCTCTGACATCACTGACATATCATGGATGGCAAAACCTTTTAAGGTTGATGCCATAACTTTAATTATTTAACGTTCGTACCTCATACTCCAATATTATATTCTTCCCCTTTATTTTCTTTATCTTTTAATATATTTTCTGAAGTTATTAACTCACTGTCATCATCATGTTCATTATATAGACCCAAAATAGATTTTTTATTCATGATGCTGAGTGCCAAATCAATATTTGGATCTTTACAAGTTTCAGCCTTCCCACCGCCAGTTTTTATTAAAGATAGCCTTTCATCGGCCATTTGTTTACGAACATTTTTTTTATATTATCAAATTTATTTAACGAGCATACGTCTCTGTACACCCCATTTGTGATGTTTCCTTTAAACTTTGCAGTAATTCTTTTCCAGGCTTCATCCTTTTCTCTCCACGTAACTGCATTAGTTTTCTTCGACTGCACGATGTCTTTAAATTCTTTTACTATATTCAAAAGTAAACTTTTATCTAGTATAGTATAATTCGGTGTTCCTTTCTTTTTCTGTGCTTTCACTTTCTTTGACATTTTCAACAAGACTAATAAAAACTTTAGTAATAACCGGTGAATATTTGAATTAAACTAACGTCAAAATCATGAAAAAGAAGATTGAATTAACAAATTACGAAAAAATCAGTGGCTTTCAAACAATAATCTTAACCTTAGGTAAACCGCACTTCTAGCAAGATGGTGCAAGGAAATTCCAATTTGTGAGTCACACTTAGCAAAGTACCACTTATGTAAGTACACATTTTATGGAGAGACTGTGCACATGGCCGTAAGAAATATGGTTCGTACTAGTTCATTACTCTTATTGTCACTATTTGGTTTCAGAAGAGATAAATAATCTAATCTCAAATCTAGTCTTTGGTAAACTAGCAGTTTAGAATCAAAAATTTAAAAAAAAATTATAATACCGTCAGTGAACACTTTTGTAGATTTTATTTCATAAGTAAAACCTTAATATAACTGTAGTAAACATCTTTTAGAGAAAGTATAGCTGCCATGACCACTGAACTGCATAGTGTCCAGGACAAGCTAGTGTTTACAATATTTTATGCATACAATATGATAAGAAAGATTATTTATTTTAGATTTATGGCAACTAGTATTTTAGCTATGGCTAAAAGTTTAAATTATAATAGTATTGGTAGAATAAATGGTAGTAACATTTCAAATTCTATTTTGGTTTAGAACAGCTTTACTCAACCCGTTCTTCATCCGGGCCACATACATATGTTTGCTATGTTGCACGGGCTGCAATATTTTTGTGTGTTGCCCTTTTTTTAGGTCATCCGTTAAAAATAAGTGGGGATCTTATTTTACATTTACTGCCCATGTGCTAAATAAAACACAAAATCTAAATACTTTCAAACATTTATTTAAAAAGTAGCTTGCTTTTGGCCCAGCGACAGATGAATATTCTCGCGCATTTAATCTATAATCGAATTAAATTACGGGTTTTGAGCTTACATTAAATTGTAATTAGATGAAACAAAATGGATTCTATGTATTTTGAGGTGATCTTTTCGAAAAAAGGCAAAACAAAATGTAGCAGTTTTTCGAAAGTGCCGAAATTTTGGATTTAGTCAATTTTTCAATTTTGCGCAGGCGCATGTCGGAAATAAATCAATATTTTTAAAACGCAGTTTACGACATTTGAAAGCTTAGAAAAAATGCTAATTTTTATTTTTCTTGAGAAATTTTGATCCGATGCACCGTTCTCGCGGTATGGACGATTGAAATTTGTTTAGTATTTTGAGGCGACGAAGGTCGAAAAATTGAATTTGTTAAATGTTCAAACACTAAATTATTTATAACATTGTTAAAAATTAAGACATTTTAAAAAACAAAAATGCGTTTTGAACTTAAGGGATGTGACTAGTGATTCCCAGAAGGGGGCAAGAGAAATCCCAAAATTGGGCATATGGCGGAAGGGCAAAATGCACCGCGGTCCTAATTTCATTGTTTGCCTATAACGGCCAAACTATTTGAATTTTTTTAATGCCACTTTCAAAACTTACTCTTAAATGTAAAATCTTATGTGTGTGTGAATTTCACCGACATCGGACCATAATTGGCTAAGATATCAAACAATTAAATAATTTTTTTCATTAAAAAAAAATTTTTTTTCTTCGAAAGTTTGAAGTGGCACAAAAATGCCAAAAATGCACCCAATGGCTCAAAACTTCTTTTGAGTACTCTATTTTGTCTAGAATACGATTAAATTACGGAAAATTGTGCAAATATATTTTATCTAATTTTTTGACCACTGTTCATTGAGTGACGACCAAAAAACACGGTTTTTGAGAAAAGTTACCTAAAATTGACAATTTTTAGTTTTTTTGTCTGAAAATTAAACAAACCCAAATTTCATGTCTTCTAAATGTGTATACAAAGTTTAAAGTGTGTATGTTTCTTCTAAGTTGTAGAATTTTCCCGACAAAAGTCCCATTACCCGCGCTCCGCGGGATCCACAACTCGTGTATACACTACATTACTGTAATTTGATTTTTTTGCGTTTTCCAGTTTTAAATTTCTTACATATCTAAACTTATTAGGCTTAAAATTTATTAAATTGTATTTTACTCACTTGTTATAAGACGTTTCTTGAGGTTTGTGCAAAATATAGAATTACCAGATATTAGCGAACAAAAAGCAAGCTTATCACCAAGTTGGAACTTACACTCAGGCTTAGGATTAATTTCCTAACATTTTCAAAGTATACCTATTTGTGTATTTTTTTGTGCTCTTTTCGATGGCGAAGTTAGTTTTTTCAAATATATTTTTTTTGTTAGATGTTTTCGGAAAACCCGGAAAAAATCATATAGGAAAAAATTAAAAAAAAACTACGCCTCTGGTTTCCTGCGAATTCCCGAAAAATTATGTCAGATTTCGCGGCGGGACTTATTTTATTTGAGAGCCAACAAAAAAATACGCAACTTCTCTCATGGGCACATATGTCTAACATTTATAATTTCGCCACAAATTCATCGCAAATTTCATGTCCATGGTTCTGATCAAAAAAACGAAAAAACGATTTTTTGGTAAAAGCACTTCTGGCGGCGAGAAATTCGCCATTAAAACTACCTGTGCAATGAATTTCCGAACTATTTTTGCCTCCTCTTTCGAATGGTGCATTTATTTTCACTATAATTAGCATTTTTACAATGGAAAATTCTGGAAAACACGGTTTTTCCTAATTTAAAAAAAATTGAAAAACTGCTGCATCTTTTTTTCTTTTTTTCGGAAAGATCACATCAAAATACACAAGGTCCTCTTTGTTTCATCCAATTACAAATTAATGTAAGCTCAAAGGGGCTTTTTTTCGTTATTTAATTGGACTACTAAGATTTTAAAAACTTAGATATCCCGAGTTTTGAAAATCACCTTACTAATAATGATAGTTGCTTTCGATCGTTTTCGTTCATCAATTATAATTATTAAACCTTACACAGGGATCAACTTGATAGGTATAGAAAGTACCTACCTTTCTTTCCAGGTAAACATCAGAATTTCCACTTATTTGTAACCAGATTTAACATAACAAACCTATAACTGAGGCCCTTCCTATGAGTCCTCAGTATTGCATTCATGCAGACGAAAAAATTTTCTTACCCCCATTTTTTAAAACTTTTTTTCATGTTTCCGATCATTCTGAGTCCGAAAAAATTCAACGTTCTAATACTACTATCGGCTTTCGGTCTTTCGTTCCAAGTTAAAACATTTCACATTTTTGTTACGCTACGAGTTTACCCTTGTGTGCCTCAGTCTCAATAAGGTGGGAACCACCATTTTAGCGTCTTTCAAAATTTATTTGCTTTTGTTGTAAGAAACAAAAATTATAGAATATTTAAAATTATTATTTCATAAAAAGTTAGTTACAGATATAGTTAAAGTAATTGCTTTTTGGTGATGCATTATTTTTTATACAGGGTTACTCATAAATGTGGTTATAGATGGCATATATTTTTTTTCAGCTTTAACGAGTCCCTTCGTATAAACTATATGCCAAACAAACAAATGTGTTTTCCTTAATTCGTGCAAAATACAGTATTTTACCACTGTTGTAATTGTCAAAAAACAATTATTTGCATCTGCTATAAATTTTACTAAAATTCAGTTTTACGCATTTTTCTTACCAAGGCGACGTTTTTTACTTGGTTCCGCCTCAAACGGCAATAACCACTCCATCATACTTATAGTTGCTAGATTTTAGCACTGTCTTACTTAACAAATTTTTTTTCAATACCATAACAGACTACCACTTCCCTTCTTTCACTGAGAATTTCCACGGTATCCAATACTTAGACTTTTACCTATTTTTACGTCAATTTATAAAGTATCTTAAGAAACTGCTAAATATAAATATTGTTATTATAACTGTTTTCGTTTAAGGAAGTCTAAAACTTTAATCATTATCTCTCATAATATACTTTCAGATTGTTAGGAATATTGCAAAAAATTACTTTATCAAAAAAGACTCAATTCTCAATCTAAATTATGCTTTCGTGCTAATAAAAATCTTATTTTGGTAGATTTCTTTCAAAGAATTTCGTTTGCTCGAGAAGTTATTTTAACTTTATGTTTCTAAAGCTTCTGATTTCGACGGCTCACGTATTGAACGCCATGATTGACGGGAAAAAATTCCCGATTTTCACTAGAAATTTTAATTTTATTAGACTTTGGATGTCCAATTTGATGTTGTATACGTTATAAATGATATTTTTTTACATTTTTACTTTCCTATCTGTATACAGATATAAGGAAAGTATAGGAATCATAATTTTTTTCGACCTCGAGTTTTCGACGGATTTTTAAGTTTTGAGGTCCCCTGAAACCGTTTTGACTATTTTCGCGATGATGTCTGTGTGTGTTATTTACGTTTGGAGAAGAAAATTCTTTAAATAAAAGTTATTTATTAAATAATTATCTATAATTTTTGTTTTATACAAAATTTTCCTAAAATGGTCCGTATTCGAGAAATTTGACAAAATGTAAAAAAAATATTTTTTTATAAAAATTGGTC